CTAATAAAAATTCATATAGTCTAGTGAATACAATTTTTTCTGGTATTTTGGATATAGACGGCAAAAGTGATATGGGACGATAGTTCTTTTTATATTGATGACCATCTTTTTTATAGACAGGAGTTACATTTGCTTTTTTCCATTCAGTTGGATACTCTCCTATTCGGAGACTTGTGTTAATTAAACATGTAAATGTTTTGGCAATTCTACGGCTACATAATTTAATAATTCTATTGCCAATACCATCATGACCGCTAGCTTTTGTAATATCAACTTTATAGAGGAGATTAATCACTTCTTCCTCTGTTGTTTGAACTATAGACAACGTTTTATCTGTGTGATTAGAATAATAATCTAGGACTGGTAGTTCATGATATGTGTCATCAACGTTCGCTTCACTTACAAAATATTCATTAAATAAATCAGCTTTTTTTTGTGCATCGCAAACAATCTGAGATCCCTCCCGTATAACTGGAATTGATACACGGCAATTATTATTAAAAACTGACTTAACATAACTCCACCATTTTTTTTGGCCCAAACGAAAATCTGATAATTGGATATTTAGTTTGTCATAATATTTTATTTTTGTTTCTTGAATCAGAGTACGTTGTCGTGTAATTCCTTTGATCTTTATATTTCTTCCACAATAAACGAGTTTTTTTCTTAGAAAATTGCTTTAAAATTCTATTTCTTTTACGAATTGCACTTCTTACAGCGCATGTCATCCATGGTTTATTGTTAGGACGTATTACAACTATTCTATTTGGAATATGCTTTTTAACTGTTGAGTAAAAATAGTCAAACCAGTTTTTATAAACATCGTCAATCCGGTTATTTTCTCTTTCACAATTTTCCCAATTATGATTTGAAAGTTCCTCATTAAGCTGTGCTATATTGATATTGGAGAAATCCCAAATGTGTCGTTTAAAGGACTTTTGCTTATAGTACGGAATTTTCATTTTTGTATAGATGTAGGAGTGATCACAATTCGATGGTGGACTACATGTACACGAATCAGAAAAATATCGTGGACAATTAGTAATAACAACATCTAATATTGTAGATGTAGTTTCTGTTACACGGGTCGGCTCTCTGATTATTTGATACAGTGCATTGCACTGGAGCCAATGGTTAAAGTGATTACCAAAACCAGTGCTTGATAAATTATTACAATCATAGTGAGCGTTTAAGTCACCGATTATCATTATAAACGTGTGTGGGTTTTGACGTATTTTATCTATAATACTTTGTAAGGAATCCAAAAAAATTGATACATCTTGCAAAGAGTTATTTGGCGCTCTATAACAAACTCCGCATAGTAAAGTTTGTTTATGTACTTTTACTTCAACCCAAAGTAATTCTAGATTGTTATTTTCTAAATCGTTACGTCTCTTAAATGCTAATGACTGTGTAATGTACAGGGTGTATAAAAAAAAAGGAGACCTTTAGAAATCAAGCATATTGTAAAAATTTGAATGCCTTTTCAATTGCACATATGTTGAACCGTAGTGCGTAAAATATTGATGTGCATATATTAGAAAAAGGAGACTTTTAGAATTTGAAATAACGTTTAAACAAAAGATTGTCTGCTCCTGGGAACAATCTGCCATGTGCTTAGCAAAGTGCTCCAGGATTCAAATTATAACAATGGTTGATTTCTAAAGGTCTCCTTTTTCTAATATATGCACTCATCAATATCACAGTTCAGCATATGTGCAATTGAAATGGCATTCAAATTTTAACAATATGCTTCATTTCTAAAAGTCTCCTTTTTTTTATACACCCTGTATAATGCAACACCACCACCCCGTGTATTTAGTCTATCTTTCCTTACAATGGCATGAAAACCGGGTATACACAGATCATCATTCGAAATTTGGCTGTTTAGCCATGTTTCAGTGATCGCAAACAATTCAAAAATTTTTTGCAAGATAAAAGAAGAAATTTCCTCAAATTTCTCTTCATTCACTAGACTTCTAGCATTGATATGACCAATGTTAAGACATGTCATCATTGGACCAGGATTTAGTTCAATATCACTTGCCATTATTAACCGAACCATTAAGTAGTTAGAAATCAAAATGTAAATGTTGAGTCCAGAAGTAGTTATCAATGCTATTGATATGCTGAATCTAGCACGGTTAAATTTTCTGTTATGAGATGTTCCGATTGCTGCTCTGTGAACCGTTAGACTAATTGCCATTATATAGACACGAACACTTTGTACCCTGCACGGCTGCTGCGAAACATCTTACAATAAATCTTAAACTTACACAAGGAAATAAACATAAACGAAAACTTAAGAACATAACAATCAGACATTCTTCCACTAAAAATATACGATCAGCGATAATAAGTGTTAGGCTATAAATGCTAAAAAAAGTTGAGCTTCATGATTCATTTGAATTGGGTTTTAGTGGCTAGGTGTTATGCTATTCAATATAACAATAAAGTAAATTGTATTTATGAATAACTTTCTAAAGCAGCTTCATAATGAGCAATGACAAATAAGCATTAAATTCTAAAGAGTCTCTTAATAGTATAATAATTAGTTGTTATGGCATGTTATCTCATGCAAAGCTCTCCTATATATACAGGGTGTAACAAAAAAAGCGCAACCTCAGAATTTCCCAAGGAATCGACATTGTTTTAAAGACAAAAGATTTTAGGCGCCTGGGAATTTAAAATAGCATAACTGTCAAAATTACTGCACACGCGAGTGCATAAATCAAAATTTATGCATTTATTTAATGCACAAAAACAGTAATATGATCTATTAGCAATTCGATTTCAATTCCCAGGGGTCTAAAATCTTTTATGCTTAAGAATTGCAAAGTGATTTCTTAGGAAATTCCGAGGTTCCGTTTTTATTGATACACCCTGTATATTCAAAAAAAACAAAAACGTTCGGATTTTCGTTAAATTATGTTTTACAAAGTCTGAAATTCTTCATTGATTATTATCCGTTCCAACAGTACGCAATCCCTAACAATTCATAGCAACAATTCACAACGTTAACAGTATAAAATTATTCTTAGACCTAGTTCTAGACGAATATCCATGCATAAAGCTGACACTATTGTCAGTAAGATGGATCGGTTAGGTTAAACTTCAAGAAATTTTCGAGTAATTTTATCATCCAAGTTGCGGACTAAAATCTTTCCATCTGCAGACCAAGCTGATTTAATAAAACTTTTCTGATCACGGGCATAATTAAGCAATTCAATATTGAACTTAGTTAAATCTTCGTTAATATAGTATTGTGTACCTTTCAAAAGTTTGCGTTGCCTACAGATTTCCGCCTTTGCACCATACGATTTAAACTTTACAATTACAGTTCTTGATCTCCCGCTAAGCGCTTTCGGACCAAGACGATGTGCACGATCGATATCCCTCTCGTCCACATTAACGTTCAACTTTTCTTTACAGAGCTTAATTACTTCTCCAACGCAATTCTCGCCATCGTTTTCATTCAGACCAACGATTCTTAAATTATACTTTCGGGAATATTGCTCGTTTTCGTTTGCTTGAACACGGACATTTGTTAGTTCTGCTTCCAATGCTTCTATCTTTTCCAAAAGAGGTTTTGTGGCTTCATGTTGGACAGATTCTTCAACGAGAGTAGACACTGCTTTGCATAAGATTTCTTTTAATTCACTCGACCGAAAAAAGTCGTTTAGTTCACTTCGCATTGTTTCCCTCATGTCGGTTCGAAGCTCGGCTGACTGAGAAGCTGCTGCTTGTCTAGTTTCTGGCATAACAATTTACTTGTTACTCACTATAAATTATTAACAATTAGCCTTCTTGACCACAAGAAGTTATCACATATATGATAGAAATGTGATAAATAACGGAGCTCAACAAAACACGTCTGCCCTTGGTGAGTTGTACGTGTACCGACAATATGTAGTCCCACCAACATACTTGGTGGACGACAATAACTTGGTGAGTCGTGTACGTGTGCCGACAATATCACAGTGATATAGCTGTAACTATTGCAAAGGACCATTGTTCATGTGTATATTCAATAGTAAAAATGATTATGTGGATTCAAAAGTGTATAAAAAAAATTTCAAAACGCATGTACTTTTTGAGGTAATTTAAGCGCGCAAGAGTATCCGCGAAAGAAATTGTCCTTTTTTTACTGTACGTGCGTATACCCAATCCTTGATCGAATATGCTTCCCCAGTATATTTTACCAAAGACCGCATTATCTAGGCGATGATATTGAAAGAATTAAACGGCGCGCACTCAAATTTATTCACCAGAATTTTCTTATAATGAAGCTCTACATAGCCAAATCAGGTCTCTATACAAAAGCGTAGCCCCACCATCCTGGCAAAATTTTGCCCTTTGCCTGATAAAATGTATTGTATAAAAAATGAAATTCTTAATTATATAGTTTCATACTGTCAATAATGCTAAAATTTTGTAGAATATATGCTTGCTACGAATCGGAATAACACTTAAAATCTTGTTTGCTTATTTGCGGCACACAGCTTGAAACAAAAAAACCCTTTTTTTAACCCTAATTATATATTTCAATATGTAGTAAATGAGGGGTAGGTTAGATAAAATTTAAATTAAAGTGCCTCTTGCACAATTTACTTTTTTCGTCTTATCGGATCTACTACCAATTTATAGTGGTTTAGTGAAAAAAAAAAAAAAATTTGAATCATTTGGGTGGTTTTTATGGCGTGTTAAATATGGCATCTCGTGGCCCATTGACGCGGAGTTAGGAGTCTGGGTCTAGTACGCTTTTCTGACGTCACGCAAGGTAGTCGGTGTTTTGCTTTGTTGTTCGATTTGTTGTTTTATATTCGATCACGAGGAATACTGTAATTTGCCAAAAACATTTCAATTGCAAATAAGTATTATACAGCGATCATGTCCAGCAGTGAATCGGATAATTCTGATACAAATTATCAATCTAATGATTCGGACGTAAACTTCATTCCTGAATATGTCATAGAGGATGCAGAATTAAATTATGGAATTCGTAAATATTCGATTGACCCAGAGCTCGCAGACAATGGTTGTTCGGGCATTGCATATGCCGATGAACCTTTAGCTGACGAAGCCTGGCTGGAAACATATCACAAAGAAGAACAGGAGCGTTTAGAAGTAGAAGAAAAACTCGTCAAAAAATTAAGTGGTTCTGTAGATATACTGTAAGCGAATGGTAAGGAGTTTATATCAAAGCCTATTACAGTAAAAATTTGCTATAATTTGTCATTTTAGTACGCGATTATAAAGTGTTTGGGGTAAGGAATGCTCTGTTGCTCTGGCTGCTTTTGGCCGAAGGTAAATGTTTTATTTTTGTAATTTTGTTGCAGGTGTATAAATGGGGTAACTGTAGTGTAGAACTACTTCATAATAGCTACGAGTGCTGTTGCTGTTCTGAGTTGGAAGGCTGTGAAGAAGCCATGCACAACGAAGAGGTTCTTGAAGACCAAAAGGCCGCGGATATCCCAGCTACTAAATGTATAACGCAACACCCAGGATTTAATTGTTTTTGTTTGCAAAAGCAGAGTTTAAAGATGTCTGCAGATGGCTATAAAACCAAAAGTAATGCCAGATATCGCCACTGGAGGGAGAGAACAGGTTAGAACTGTATTCATTGCTCAAGTACTTGTGATATCTAATATTACCAGAAATAGTAAAAGACAAAATCATTTTGTATTGGCATTTAATAAATTGTTGCCCTGTCTCTGGATTCCTGCGCAGTGTCTCGTACAGAGGATTTACGAGGATGGTTTATCGATTCCTCGGAAATAAAAGGATACCTCTGCCAGCATGTGCCTACACGGCTATTAGAAAAACATTTCCTGTTAGTGAAAAAGAAGAAGTTACTGGCTATATTGATGAATCTGACTGAGAAATATAATGCATGCTTTCAAATTGTTTGGTGAATAAATTGATTTCTGGCCATCAGGTATTCAGAAATAGTTTGGGCCCAATTGTGATGCTGATTATATTGTGTACTTTGCACATAAGGGGTCCTTAGAATAAGTCTGCAAAGTTGGACAGAATCTGTTTGGTGATGGTCCCTAACCAAAGCTTACACACCATATTTATTGTGTTGGGTCTTCGAAAACGGGTCAGCACGAAGCTCTGGGAAGATGTTCTGTGATTGGTTGATTATGACAATGACAAAAGAATAAGCTACAGAATGGATTTTCTAAAGAACGAAGCAAGAACAATATTCCTTTTGTTTATGTTTATGTAAGCCAATTACGTCTTTTGTCATCGTCATAATCAACCAGTCACAGAACGTCTTCCTACAGCTTCATGCACCTTTACTGCGAAAAACATCTGAGCCAACCACGAGTTGCGGTTGCACCCTCCCCCTCCGGCTGACTGGAGTTTTCTCTGTTGGGGAATCTGGATGATTTCTGATAATAAAATTTTACAAAGCCTCCACTCGTATGACCATGATAATATCTATATAGTTGGTTTCCTTTTTGATAAATTCACAGATTATTTATTATGTACAGCAAAAACTCTAACATTGTCTATTTGATTAAAATTTATGTTACACTTTTGTCCCAAATACTGTGCTCTATTTGTTTTTGGGACAGTCTTTCACATATTTGTGTCCTTTCATAGGATTCTTGCATAATCTACAGCATGGATTAGCCTTTTCTTTATGCTCTTCATTTTTCTTTTGTGCCTTCTCCTGTTCAAGAACTTGTGATACTGTAAAAAATTGCAAACGTTTCAGAAATTGTTATGAGGTAAATGCTTTTTTAGCCCATAAACTGTACTTATGAGTAAAATCATCTGGAATTAGACAGAATAGAATACTCTACCATCATACATCGTCAATTGGTAGGGTGTATATTGGTACATTGCAAGGTAAAGGGTACGGCATACCCAGAAACGTATGAAATAAGTACCTGGTGTGGTTGGTGGGACATCTAGGATGACCATTCCACGTCTGTCCAATCTTTTCTTGAGGGCCTCTACCTTTTTTTGCTTTTCAAACATTGAATCCATTGGCTTTGGAGACATCTCTTTAAGCTTCAAAGCAGCATCTTTCAGTACTTTTTTGCTTGATCCAGTGTATGTCTCGAATACCTCCTGTACATATGCTGCAAAGATAACAAGATGTAACAAATCAAAACAATTTACCTCTAGACATTTGATGAAAAATTACTGTTTTACAGATGAATAGTAAATGCACCTGTGATCTATATACATACTGTAGGTACTCGTAGTACTTACAGAAGTTTTGTGAAATTTTAACGTTCCTAATCGTTGCTTCACCATTCTTAAACTTGGGACAAGTGACTTTTACTCGTTCCGCATTGTCAGCTTTTTTGGTCTCCGTGGCACGATGAAGATTTGCATTAAAATGCACGACAGCAAGAATATGCCTGGAAAAACAATGAATAATATAGTTTATAATATAGCATATTTGTAAATTCTGAATGCTGATTGGCTAAGAACCATGTTGATATAACTCAATGTCAACACAGAAACGTCAAAAAATTTCTTTCTTTATATTTCTTTGTGCAAATATAAAACATTTTTTCCGTGTTGATATACAGTTATATCAACACTTGTGGAAATTAATTTGGGAAAACTCGAAATTGTTTGAAAACCCTTCGCCCTTATGGTGTCGTGTTTCCACACAATTTCTCATTTTCCCAATTCCCACTTGTGTTGATATATAAACTGTATATCAACATGAAAATTTTTTATATTTGTTTAATCTTAGGTGTGTAGCGTTAAATCCCAAATAAAGTCATGTGACCAAACTAACCCACCACCGTCAATGCCTAAGCATCTCATCGCCTCCCCTTACAACACATTCTTCTAGTGGCGTAACGCTCATTAGCGGGTTAGTTAAAAAACTAAGGACCCCTGACAGTTAGGGGCCTCATAAGCCATGGCCTATCGCCCAGAAAATTAGAAAACGTAAAAATGGAGGTTAAGAATCGATGGCAAAATGCAAAATTAATAATAACGTTAAATAATAAAGCCTCCATCGACAACGTCAGCTGATTTTTTATTCGATCTCAAATAAAACAAAAGTTATTCTTATTAGAAATTATGTGTTGAAGACTGTAATAGTTATAGACACAGAATTTTCCAGAACATTCAATAATGTTCAATATAAATATAATATCTCAGTCAAACAATGAGAACAGTCAATAGGTGCCCCCACACCAAATATGACCAACTCACTGGGCCCCCTCTTCCTCCATTACGCCAATGCATTCTTCACTAAAGCAAGATGATTTTATCATCAAAGTTACAAACCTGCAGTATTGTCCAATATACGAGTATGCAATCATTTTGGGGGCAAATTGATTTAGCACACTATGGAACCCCTCTAGGCAACTTGTCTGTTCCAATGGAGAAGTCTGCTTGATTCCTTTCACCAGTCTTGGGTTTGTCAATGCAGCAGAGACTTTTTCATAAAGGTGTGAATCTTAATATAAAATTATCAAAACATGAGCATCCCTACTTTAAGTCTAATGCAGAATGATGTTCTCAAATGGGATCTTGGCTTGGCTAACTGGTTTTATAACATGCGAATAGTACTGAACTAATACTTGTACAGTAACCATAATTTGTATATACCTTTTGTGAGCCACTTTATAGCTGGAATCTCACTGCCATGGCCACACTTGTTGAACAGTGGATCATTGTGATCAGAATGTTTATTCACAATGTGTCCCAAAAATGACTTGAATTTGGCCCATATCACCAGTCCATTGCCACTAAATGTTGATGTTGCACTCCAGTGCAGGTGATTCTCGCATGGTTTGATCCATTCATTCAACAATTTGCAATCTTTTTCCTTAGCTACTTTCGAAAGCACCTTCCGTATTTCTGAAAAAATTGATCATGAAATTGTCACAAAAATGATTCAGCTAGATATAATATGGGAGAAGGCTAAAAGTTTGCACATGCTCAAAATGCGCCTGCCTGGCCAGGATAGAAAGGCTATGTCCGATTTTCCATCCTGACTAGCAAATACCATGGCTATTATTAATATTATGAATGGCATCCCGGCAGCTGACAATCCTGCCCAGTAGAGATCATAAAGTCTCCCTCAATGTAGTTCAGCACCTCCTACTCAGGCTACTACACCTAAGAATGAAAGTCGATACAAATACATTAGAGGTGTGCAAATCCGACTCCGGAACAAAAATATTCATTTCGGATTGGATTGATAAAGTTGTTTCGTAAAAAAACAAACAACAAATTGCCGGATTATAAACGTCCAATTCGATCTGATGCATACCCCTAAACTACATATGTATCAAAATGGAATTGTACTTATTTTTCTTTAAGTGCCAGATATCAAAATAATGTATAACATTTTTCAACACAGTTCTCATATGTTTGGCAATTGATGCATGTCTATCTGAGATAAATGTGGTTATGTTCAACCCTTGCTTTTTTAAATATTCCATACAGGACTTAAATGACAGAAACTCCATTGCAGGACTGCTTCCTGCCTGATTTCTCTGTAATAGAAAATACAAAATACCATTAACATCTAAAACATATTCATGTGTCCATACCAAGTAAGCATTGGTTGAATCTCGCAACAGGGGTATACACAATATGCACAGGGATGGACCCAGCTTGATCGGATGGAGGTGCCAAGCAAGTGCTGGACAAGATGCTGGGTTTGGCCAGCATCCAAAGCAGGGTGAATCATCACTCAGTACGTGTCAAGAAACATTTGAAAAAATGATTGATTAGATGGTCAAAAAAGACCCAGCAATGACAAGATATATCAAACATGAAGCTTGGTGTTGCTGTAGAAGTATAAATTTGTGGACACAATCTTCCCTTAATCCTCCCAAAGATCCTAATAGTTATGCCAATATTCAAATACTATATTAATTCAGCGTAATTCAGAATTTCTACAGTACCGGCATAAGATCAAAGTGTATGATTTTCGTCATAGTACAACAGAACATTGTGTATGCACAGAATTTAGCTGAGTGTCCCATGCTGTCGTGGCGACCATCTCCTGCCATCACCACACCCTGCTTGACTTGTTTAGCGTTTTCTATCAGCATCCTCTGGTATTTCTTCCAATGTAGGTAGATAGTTAGAAACAGCTTAGTCTAAATATATATATATATATATATATATATATATATATATATATATATATATATATATATATATATATATATATATATATATATATATATATATTTATATATATATATATATATATATATATATATATATATATATATTTGTTGTAGTAGATAATAAAGTGCTCAACACTAGTATTATAGTAGAACAAGATATATTTATATCTTAAAATTAATTATTGCTACTCAAGTTTCACGCCTTATTCAAGACGATCTTCAGGCAATTAATTCAGTTTGTGTTTGATTCGTCAGCATCAACGGTCGGTCGCTGACGCGTAGGCTTGTCTTGCGTCATCGGTTTGAATTTGCACGCGCTAAATTTTTCCTTATGACAGCACTTCGCATAAAACTCTGATCGCGTGTTCAGTGAATTGTTCCCTTTCGCTTTCAGGATGCATAACTTCTCTTCCAAACAGAGGCCACATCGTTTTCCACCAGGCGTATACGCAGCAGCTCTTTTCAAGATGGACCACTTGATGTTATAATTTCTTCTACTTTGCTTCAGACTCCAAATATACTTGGAAAGCTTTGTATCAGACGAGTGGTTGTAGAGGTTGAATGACGTTTTGTGGTTCGCGTATCTTTCCTTGAATGGGTTGGCCGTCATTCCAATATATTCTTTTGTATTTCCGTTATCAGTTGTTGTCACTGTGGCTTTATAGACGATGTTGTCTACTTTGCACTTCCCGTCTAGTGGGCATTCATCTGGTTTGTTACAGTTGCATTGGACAGGTTTTTGGGTAGGGTTTCTCTTTAACAGGCGGTGGTTATGTCGGGATATAATGGTTTTGACATTCTCCATGCAGGAGTAGCTAACTTTGACTGTGTTGCGGTTGAAGACCTTATGAAGCGGGTTAGTAGATGGGAAATGTTATATATATATATATATATATATATATATATATATATATATATATATATATATATATATATATATATATATATATATATATATATATATATACGATCTATTCAAACTGAATTAATTGCCTGAAGATCGTCTTGAATAAGGCGTGAAACTTGAGTAGCAATAATTAATTTTAATATATAAATATATCTTGCTCTACTTTTGTATTAGTGTTGAGCACTTTATTATCTACTACAACAAAACAAATTATATATATATATATATATATATATATATATATATATATATATATATATATATATATATATATATATATATATATATATATATATATATATATATATATATATATATATATATTTAGGTATAGGTGCATGCATAGTTCAGTTCTATATCAATACCGATAATTGTTCATGCAAATATAGGCTATAGGCCTTTAATAATACATTATATGACCTAAAAAGCTATGGTAATTATATGTAAAAAATGTAATCAATAAGCTTTGCTATCGACGACCATTTGACCTTGACCAGCAGGTTGATCATAAGGTGGTGGCTGTTGGCTGTAGGCCGGGTATGCTTGTGTGGTCATCACCACTGTATTTGCTGGTGGCTGCTGGTTGCAAGCCGAGCGTCCTTGTGTTGCGGTAATCAATATTGTATTGGGTTGTTGACCTGTTGTGACGATAAAAGTTGGTTCCTATTAAGAACAAAGATATGTTGTTTTTGTGAAAAACCATATTTCTTCTATTTACACTTTAAAATCACTCGTGTTAAAATTGCGAGGTTAACTCAGAAATAACTCTATTTGGGTTAACTTGATATTTCTTGTTAAATTCCTGGTTATACTTTATCTCACTTTGTTGAAACCAGGAATCTGGTTATATTTGACCAAGACGTTCTGGCATGTTAAAGTAACCATGCATGCAGACTATGTTGCCCCTATATATATATATATATATATATCCACCTATTAGAATGCTGGTTTTTTAGGGTTTGTAATCCAAGTGAGTATAATTACATACACTTTAAGACCTTTTCAGGAACGACTGCGAAAAATGCAGCACAAGGTCCTCTGGTGGGAATTTGAACCTACGGCCCTGCGATTCCGGTGCAGTGCTCTAACCAACTGAGCTACAGAGGCCAGCTGTTGAGCTCTAACCGTAAGTTCATGTATATATAGGTGATCGGGTGTGCGGGTTGTGATAAGGTGGACTTCAATGAACTGGTTTCTTGCACTTCACTTGGTGGTGTTAATATTAGAATGTTAGGAGTGTTAGGGTTTGTAATCCAAGTGAGAATATATACATTTTAAGACCTGACCAGGAACGACTGCGAAAAATGCAGCACAAGTTCAATTCCTACCAGAGGACCTTGTGCTGCATTTTTCGCAGTCGTTCCTGGTCAGGTCTTAAAGTGTATATATACTCACTTGGATTACAAATCCTAAAAAACAGCATTCTAATATTAACACCACCAAGTGAAGTGCAAGAAACCAGACCATTTATCCACCTAGCCTAACATAGTCTGGTTAGTTTAACCAGGAAGTCTTGGTCAAATTAACTAGACTGCAATAGAAAAATATTAAAATAGCCAGCCAAGGCCATCGGAAGCGGGGCCTTGGTCTAATTTTAAAAACCAAAACAAAAAAAAAACAAAAAAAAACAATTCAGATTTGTAACGGAAGAAGAGGGCTTAGGCATATTCGGTGCGGGGGTCCCTGTTGGCTGTTGGCTGTTGTCACTGTTTGACTGAGATATTATATATATTTACATTGAATATTTATAGAATGTTCTGAAAAATTCCCTGTCTATAGACAAAACAGTCTCCAAAACATGTAACAACTAATAAGAATAACTTTTGCTTTATTTGGAGATGGAATAAAAAATTGTCGATGGAGGCTTTATTATTTGGCATTATTAATTTTGCATTTTCCCATCGATTCTTAACCTGCATTTTATACGTTTTCTAATTTTCTGGGCGATAGGTCGTGGCTGATGGGGACCCTAACTGTCGGGGGCAATTTAATTTAACCAGGAATATTATTAAGTTAATCGGTTGGGGTCAAACTCATTAATAATTCATGAGTAAATTAGCCAACCAAATATATTGCTTTATTTTGGTCACATGATAATACTGGATACCTCATGAAGTACATTGATCCAGTCCTAGGACTGGATATCAAAATTAATTCAGTCTTCGACTGGGTGGATCAAAATTGTTCACCTCTGCACTTTAAGTAGTGACTTATTTGTATATGAGATGTCATTTCAAATCTTTCAATTCGGACTGGACTAGATTTCATGTCCTCGCATTTTGATGCAATTGTGCGGACTTGAAATATAGTCCAGTCCTCGTATAGTCGAATTTGACATATTACTTTAATTAAATAGATGTCTATATACCAAGCATAATTTACCCGTCGTGCACAGCAAGTTCCAATGCAGCCATAAATTGATCCCACAAAACTGACGATGGTGAAAAGAGCAAAGAATATCGTGACTGCACCAGTAGCTTCGCGAACAATTTTCAGGTCGGAGCAACTAGCCGCATCTAAGAGAACGACAGAATTGAATTTTAACATCGCTTGTAATATTTCACATGACAGCAAGACCGATATAGGGGGAAAATTCAGACTTGTCGAGAGAATAAACAAAATCAACAACTCACATGTATGCCCATACGTGTAGTCATGGTAAAAACAAGAACAGTAGCCGTCGCGTTTGATGCGGGAACTTGGATCAGAATCATAAGAATTATAACTATAACTATAACTATCGGCACATTTTGAAGCCAGTATAGCCCAAAACGAAGCTCCAAATGACAATCCAACAATCGCGAGAATAATCCCTAAGACATGGGTACCAAGTGCAACAGCCAACTATATTAATATAAAAAAAAGATACGGTATATGAGCCCAGCAATGTTTAACCTAAAGTAACAACTAATTTTATAATGTTATGTACTATTTTTAAAACATGAGCAGCAGTGTTTTATCAGATATAAAGATACGATGCGAAGCCGAGTATCTTTAGGTCTGATAAAACACGCACTGCGAATGTTTTAAATTGCTTCAAAAACGATCGATCTAGTAAGTTCATTGGCGAAGTAATTTTCAAAAAATACGTTGTGTAAGTCGAGAAAATCAAAGTTAAAGTTTATGTAAATCAAGGGAAATCTCTATCACATATAAAGATACGACACGCTTATGATTTTTCTTTGTGTTTTTCTCACGAATTATTAATTATAGAATATTACATTGAAATATTCTATGAAATATTCTAAAGGATTTTGGAACCTATTCTATGGGATAGTCTATGGGATAGTCTATGGGATAGTCTATGGGATAGTCTATGGGATAGTCTATGGCCGGGGAGAGTCTACAGGGTGTATAAAAAAAAGCGCAATCCTCGACTGAAATGTAAATTGCTAAACAAATAATAGACGACAACGTTAAAGTTTACATTCATTTTAAAGCGTAGCCATTCAGCTTTCTAACCGTGGGTTGTTTCTTAAATTTGACTCATTGGTTCGCGGATAATAGTACTTTACGTTATTGCGATTGGAGATTAAAAAAAATTGAGATGGAATATCAAATCGTTCTCATGAAAATAACTGATTTTTTCATTAAAACAAAAAAATGTTGCATTTTATTAAATGGATTGTAACAATAAGTATAATTATGGCTTTTCTTCCACTATTTTTAACTCAGTTTGAAACTTC